CTTTTGTCTTCTAGATACAGTTAAGAAACCCTTGCAGTTCTAGGGTTGGGAGTTCTTTCTCACATCCAAGTGAGAGCCACAAGGCTCATAACAGAAAAGACTTCACCAGGAGTTGAAAAACATTTGTTATATGAAAATGCTTTTTATCTAGGGGACTAATTTGTTTATATTAGTTTATGTATTTACATTAGTTGTGTATATACCACACTCCCATCATCTCCATATAAGCAGTCTATAAAAATAAAATAGTCTGTTTTTGCATAAAAGCCATGTCTGTTTTGCCTCTCTAAACATCTTGCTTATCAATAGCAAAATGATACAAATCTAATCTTTTTTATTAAAACATAATAAAACATAGGAAAATTTAAGTCATACAAAAATTTAGTACTGAAAACAACAGCTTTTCTTGATACTAAGACAATACCTCATCAACCAATTCAAATAACCACTATTCTTATCTTAACTTCTACTCTATCAGTAGCAGAGACTGACAGAATATTCAATAAAGTATTTTGACTATTAGCTCTCTGTTAGTTTCAGAGAAAAGGCAGGAACTTAAATACTTTGTCAAATTTGGGTATTAGCATCTTAACTAGCAGTCAGAATTTTATAATCAAAACACTTAGAGTGGGTACAACTTTGATTTTCATCTCGTCACTCGTGTTCAGCAAACCATGTAATAAAGATTTTTTGCGTGAACTCCCAAAAAAGCCATAGAGTTTCACAAATACCATTGTCAAGCATTTTATTACGCTCAGCATCCACTTACTGTTACTGGATGTCAGAAAAAATAAAAAACGTACTAGAAGATAGGCAAATGGCAAGCAGTCAACAGAAATGCTCTGGGTCATTACTCATATAACCTTTTTTCTGGAAAACAGACAAAGGACACAAATCGTCGCAGTTATTTCCAACTGCTGGTACAATGCCTACGACCACGAATAGCATTCTTGAGAACGCAGCAGATATATACTGCAGGAAGCCTTTTTCCAGGAGTATTAGGGACATGGCCTCAACTTCAAAGCACTTAGTAGCCATTAACTTACTTTGCATTTTTCCCGCTTACAGCCAAATAAGTGTTACTTTCCCACTATATTTCACCTACCTCACCCCCTCCATCATTAACACTTTGCAGAACAGCACAAGACCTATTGCTTGTTTGCTTTGCCTTTCAATGGCAAGAAAATCTTCATCCCAGACAAATGGAAGACTAATAGATATAGTAAATTGAGACTCAACTAGCTCAGCCCTCCTAACCCATTTTCAGTGCTGCAATTATTAGACTGCTGCCCACACTAATTATTGCCCAAAGACTTTGTCCCATTTATCACAGTTTTGTCCTCTATGCTTCTCCTTTACCACTACCACTTGCCGCTTTCTGGACTAAAGGACCAGAATCCCTTGAGGTCTGATTACCTCTGTGAGTCAACCAGCCAGGGTCATGAAGAAATAATGTGGCCTACACCTTTTGTCCCTCACAAACACATACTCCGCAGGCTAAGCTCATGAATTCCTCTTCCCTTGGCTCAAGGCCTGGAAACTTGAGTCTCTTCCAAAAGCCAAGCCTCCCACAGAGGGCAGAATTAACCTCAGTCTACAGGTCAGAGCAGCCCGATTTCCTTGTATTTTGCAATATATTGCTTTAAGGATATGAGGTTAATAAAATTGCCTGGGTAGATGTATCTAAGACCATTCAGTAGGTGTTTAATTTTGAAAGGTTTGAGAGGTTTTTTCAGAACAACTCTAATCGGTATTACGCAATCTAACAATTTTCCCTCTTCCACCTATCTTTGCAACCTCTTCTCTACCACAGATAAGCTCTAATTTAATATTTAACAGTAGTTTAGAATTAACCAAAATTCATTCAGAATGTCCCTCGTGACAAAAGAAATGGTTATAAGCTTAGCAATACACATTTGCAGTGGCATTATAGATTTGCAAAACCATAGGCTTCAGCTTGTCTTTAACTTAAATGCTAAAATCACAATTTAACATAATAACCAATGGAATCTACAGTGCCTTTGAATATATACAGATCACTAACACAATACCTCACCTCTCTTTTGGGACCCCATCCTCAAGAGATTAGCAGAAGACCACATTCACACTATCCTTTTGCTTCATGGTGTCCACAGACCATTCTGTTTTTTCCTGCTCCATCTGTTTCCCCATCATTCTTCATGTGATTCAGCACCCACTTCTAACTACATAGCACTTTCTGCAAAACTATCTAATCAACTGTCTGCAATCAGGAGCACTTTTATAGTTTAACTATGCAAAATGAACAATATTAGTTAATATTTAGTAAAGAAGCTAGTACTTAACAGGAAAACCTGCTCTACATCCTTTAAACTTTCATAAATTAAAAGAGAACAAAGATGGCCCAGTCATTTCTGTAGAAGAAAATATGCATCCTTGACTTACACTTTTAAAAAAAGTAAACAGTGCAAACCTCCGCCTCAACATTCTCATTTTCTCATTTTACTTTCTCTTTACTAATTGCTTCAAAGCAGAATTCACATTGTATATTCAGGTAGAGAGAAGCACAAATAACAGTTGTAGGCATCAATAAAATGGAAAGTCAAAGCAAGCCCATTTGTACGCTGTGGAAAGCCAGCGGAACTCAGTGATTTCTGCCTGGAGGGAAATACGAGCACCAGCTCTTTCCTGCACCATCCAGGGGATGCAAAGAAGAAGGAAAGATTGACTTCTTAAACGCTGCCCTTGGCCTTTTCTCATCCACTTTGCCTTTCCAGGCTCCGACTGCCATGTTTAGTCCACCACATACTGGGCCTTCAGGTGAATCCCCAAGATTCATATTCGTCTGAACAGCTAGGAGATACTGAAGGTATGTTAGAAGAGTACAGCATATAAAAAGACTGAGTTTGTTGGGGAAAAGAGTAAGAAAAGAGATTGGACAGAGGACAGACTACCATTGTAAGCTAAGTAATATAATCAAAAGCCTGGGAGGAGAGGGTAAAAAAAGAGCAAATACTTGAAGAAAATGAAAGCGAAAGTATGCTGAGATACTCTATGGAAGAGACTACATGGAGTAAAGGAAAAAGGAAAAAAACAAAAAACCCTGTTAATGTCTCTTGTCTTTTTTGACTGAAGGTCTCTTTGAGGCAAGAACTGCTTTTTATTATGTATCTGCACAGCCCCTAGCATTATGGCACACAATCTGACTGTCCGTTTCCAGAGTACACAACAGCAAAGGCAAACAGCAGCAAGAGACTGATGGAGCAAGTCAGCCTGCTAAACAGGTTTCGAGAAATGCACAGTTTGTTCAGGAACTAGACATACTGGTGAACAGACTGTACCGAATATAATTTTGTCTACTGAATAATGCATTCTAGGACTCTCCAGATAACAACTAAAAGAAAAGTAAATTTTCTTATACATTGGATCAATGAAGTGGCCCTGGGTTGCAACACAGGGCTTTGAAAAACTGCTGATGAGATGTGTGCTACTACAGTAAGAATTCATAATAAAAGCTGGTCAATCATGCTACCAAAAACTAAGATGTACTGAAGAGAACACAACCATTATTGTAGAGGTTATTACAAAGGGTGCAGTATTTTTGGTGAAAATACAGCCAATTTTCACACTGGCATACTGGTTGAGGTTCACTAGAATAGGTGTCATGTCCCCTTCTTAAATCCTGATCACTACCGTCTCAGCCTCTGTAATACAAAGGTGAATGACAGATGCCCATAATCATTGGTCTACTGAGTAATAGGGACAGAGTGCTGGAGACATCCTTGATATGGAAGAAAATTCATTAAGCAGTTACTCTGGGAATCTCCAACCTCCTAGATGGACGTGAAATACTTCACATACTATAGGTACTTCGACTTGTGCTCAATGTATTTTAAAACTTTAAAAAAAGGTTTCTTTTCAGTACATCTTCCCATTCTGAAATCCAAGACATACTTTCCCCTTCACCAACTGCAGGAGCACGGAGTAGAATTATGAGTTACCCCATACCATTATTTTTGGCTTAAGGTTTCAAATAAATACCCGGAACAATACTGAAAATTTGAGTAAAGGTTACTTACAGAGTCATTGTCTGTGGGGCAGTTCATATTCTATGCTCTAGCCAAAAGCTGGACACTTATTGTACGCCTACACACCATACTTCAGCTATTCTGGCCCACGTATGGCTAAATAACAACTACAAATACTTTTGGAATACTATTATCTATGTTTATGCCACGGCCAGAAAGATTTATTTGTAAGATACAGTGTTTTAATACTACAAACTATAAATAAATACTAAATTAAAATACTGTAAGTAGTGTAACATATAGAGGTTTTTGTTTGTTTGTTTTAGCTTTTCTATTCTCACACATTAATGCCCTTGGCACTAATTTTTTTGGAAATGCTTTTTGGAAATATTGCAGGACTGAAAAGATGTACCATATTTAGGCTAATTGAGTATTTTATGTAACATTCTTTAGATGACCGAAAAAGCCCAAAGAACAAAGGGAAACAAAATACATCAGCAAAAAATCACCAAGTCAAATGATCCACGAAAGATAATTTAAAAATGCAGAATCCTTATTTGCAGAAGTAAAAATACAGAACTAATAAGATATAAAAGGGAAGTCAAATATTTAGACCTTTATTTAGCCCACGACACAGAAGGAAATAAATTCTCTTTGTACTTTTTTCACAGATTTAAAATTCAGAATGTATTTCTGAATGCTACATCTTTTCTCTCTTAACACTTACATGGGGTCTACACTGGCCTATTCATGGTCAGGAGAGTTCTAGAAAAGCTTCATTAAAGTTGTATTTGTTGCAGTTGGCTTCTCAACATTTCTTTAATAAGAAGTAAATAATTAGTACTAGAGTATTGCACAAGGTCAAGTCAGTGACATCCCAAATTGCCCTTAGAAATGACAGTCATCTGCCATATATACTTGGCAGAACTTGGTCAGTCTAGCTCTGCACACACACAAGCATTGACATATTTCATATTAAATTATGAAACTTACTTTGGCACATCTGCAGATCGTTTCTGGCCTCCTTGTAGGTCCTGTGAGATATCTTTCCCAATGTTGTTTAAGATGGTGTCATCTTTATTTACAGAATCCTCTTTTATTCTAGCTGTAGAACAGACAGGCTCTTCAATTTTCAGATTCTTTGGATGCTTATCTGCCAGAAGGGTGTTTCTGTTCTGTAAATCCTTTTCATAGCTGTTGGGTTCATCTTGGAAGGTAGACGGTTTAGATTCTACCAAAGAAGATTTTGATGCAATATTAAATAAGCTTCCAAGAAACTGAAAAAAACCTTCTCTGGGTTGCTTGTCTTTATCTGCTGTTTTGGTTCCAGGTGTCAAACTAGGAAGGCTATTAGCCTTTTTTAACTCCTCTTGGATTTCAGAATTGCTAAGTTCTACTGTGGAATGGTTCCTCTCCTCATTTTGGCAAACCTAAAATAAATACAAGAAGTAGATAAGGAACATGAGTGTCATTTTCATGTGTTCCAAAAATCCTTAATTTGCTCCTATGCATTGCATTCCTTTCTGCAGATCTGTAGGTTAAAGAAATATTTTTTTTTTAAAAGATTTTTGATCAAAGTCCCATGGTCTCTTCTTTTTGAAACGGGCCCCTGTCTTTATGTATTAAAAAGGTCCCTATTCCACAAAAAACGAACAGACTACATAGGCTAGAAGATTCACTAAGCAGCTGCTGTGGAAGTAAAGCATGGTAGGACAGGAAAACAACGATCACTTCAGCTTGTAGGGGGAAAAAAAAAAGAGGTAGCAAGGAACAAAGACCACATATTAAAATCTTTTTTTTTGCTTCACAATCTGCAAATGCTTTTTCCCCGGGTCCAAATTTTCTGGGGACTCTGCTGTTTCCCCCCCCCCCCCCTCTCTTCTCCCTCCTCCTCCTCCACCATATGCATTGTGGCCTAGCTTATCTTTACAATACTATCCTTGTCATTTCAATTCCTACTTCAACCCAATTTATTAAAACAGAACAAAATTAGCCCACCTTTTCTTAGATGAAATCTATTCTGCTCAACAGGAGTGGGAAGGGAGAACATGAATAAAAGTTCCTGCAAAAATTGTGGTTAT